AGATTTCTCACCTTCAGTTCAGGAGCAATGACTGTGTTTGTGACAGTCCAAGTGCTACAGGGGAGTGAAGGCTTTCAGTAAGTTTTGTACACAAAAAAAATCAAATTGGTTTGGTTTTGCTGCTTGATTACTCTTGCTTGGACATCCCTTCCTGACACCTTCCAGAAGCAGCATGAGGTCATTGGCACTTCTGGCCTTGGAAGGCACCACAGGCAAGTCCTGCATCATTCAGCACTGCAAAATGAATCAAAGCATACCTGGAGAGCTGGAAACCCTGCAGGGGTTTGTGCTCRAGGCCTCCGATGGGGGCCTGGCAGTCAGGACAGCGGCTCATTTCCATGGGGAGGCCACACTGGGAAAAGCAAAAGCAGAACAATGAACTCCAGAGCAACAGCTTCTCCAGCAGAGAAAAGGGGATGGAATGAAAATCCAAGCTGCAAGTGGTTAATTCAAACCCTGCTACAAATTGAACTTCTGCCTCGTGTTTCCTAATTTATGGTGTGTCAGGATTATTCTAAATTTTACAATGCAATGACAAAATGATCAATAATATCGAATTTAGAAGGGGAACTCAGTGCATCAGAACATTAGAACTAGTAAACAGAACAGAGTTTATTGTTAAAAACTTGGTCTGCTTAAATACCCAGCAGTCCCAAATTCTTACCTCTCCCACAGTGCAGGGGTGGCCATTGGGACATGCTGTCAAGAGAGAAACAAACAGGACAGATTTATAAAGCCCCTGCTATTCCCATCATCCWGGAGCAAAAAATATGCTTCAGGATCTAATCAAAAGCCCTGACTATCCCAAAATCCAATCGGGCCCACACAGGAAGCCAAGGCATTTTTCAGTGCTGCTTCTCCTTGAGAAATGAGGAATGGAAGCCTGAAAGATTCCACTGGTGGGTGCAGGAATGCTGTCAGCCCCCAGTGCCAGCTGCAGGAAGGTCCAGCTGTGGGAAGCAGAGACAAAGCTGSCCAGGGAGGTGGCAGAGCTGCCCTCTCACATCCTGTTCATRTTGCCAGGATGGGTTTTGTGCCCCRTCAAGCTCTGTGAGCAGCTGCAGACTGAAGATTAAACAGTGCTGCATGTCCTTTGGTGCACCACCCACACCAACTGTCACTACAAATCTGGATTTACCARGGATAACTCGTGCTGAGGAGGCTGTTTGTCCTCACATTTGGAACAGTTTCATTCTCCCAGCCCAAGGAATCCCTTCCCCAGCACTCACCATACCAGTGCAGAGCAGCCATYCCCTCCCATTTCCTCGCCTGAGCCATGATGTCCTCTGGCATTGTGGGCAGAAATGAGTGCTGAGGAGGGAAAGGGGAAAACAGTCACAAATAGATCTGTAAATCAGCTCTTTGCTGTAGCAATCATGGGGTCTCTGTCCACACTGGGGAACAGGAGACCTCTGAAAGCACACATCAGGCAGGTGACACCTTTAGAAAATCCACTCTTAGAACTGTCAGTATTGTTAAGATTTGCACGTGTGCTCTCTRGACATCCTGCACTGCATTCCTGATGTGTAGCAGCACATTTCCTTCCACTTTGGGCAGCCAGGAGCAGCTCCCTGCCCCTGCCCAGGGCTCTCTGAGTGTCCCCTCACCCAAACAGCAGCAAAGSCATTTGCTTCAYACTGCTCAGGATGCTGAGGTAYCTTGAAAAGGTACCAGGCCAGAGCTTGCTGTTGTGCAAATTAACACCAAGAGCACTGAAATAATCAGCGTTTCACAGCTCCAACACAGAGTGGGTGCATTGCTGTCGAGAAAGGCCAGGCACAGAGGATGCAGCAGGCACAAAGCAGGGATGTGCTGAGCTGCAGGGAGCTCACCTGCATGGTTTGTGGMTGGAAGGCCAGGTTCCTGAGGGGCTGCAGGAGGGGGCTGTGCCCACAGAGCAGCACAGCAGCCAYGTGCACAGCMATCTCCAGCAGAGCTCCACGCTGGCCCCAGCCCTGCGGCTCCACGGCCAGGCCGGGCAGGGTGTTCTCCACCAGGGCATGGGCAAAGAGCTGCAGCTCCGGGGAGTTCAGCACTTGGGAGCTCTGGATGAACTGAGCCATCGCCTGTGTTTGCTGAAAGCACATATTCCAAAGAGCTGAAGGCAGCAGGACAGTGCCCACCCSAGTGAAGTGTCAGCTGCTTCCCACGCTGGGTAACCCTGCTTTAAAACCATCCCAGACTGCTCAGCTCAGGCCATCACCCTGCCTGGGGCACAGAGCAGCACCCCTGATTCATTCCCCTTCATCCTCACCCATGAAGCAGCTGTGTCACAAGTTTCCAGAGGGGACTGTCCTACCTGCTGCTTGGGATGCAGGCTGGGATCCCCAGCTCCGTACAGGGCAGTGACCTCTCGGAAGATGGCCAGGAGCAGGTGGGCACATTCCAGAGCAGGGGAGCTGCTGGAGGCCTGCAGAAGAACCAGTGACATGGCAGGGGACAGGCCAGAGCTGTCCCAGCCACAGTGATGGGATATACAGGTGGGAAAGTAAAGAAAACGTGTTTGAGCACAAACCACAGTGAGRGYCCCAGGGGCCTCCATGGRRACAGACCCTGYCCACGGGGACAGAGCTGCAGCCATYCCMACCCAGCAGGGCTCTGGGGAGGACTGAGCTGTACCTTYTCAGCCTCCAGCAGCCCCAGGGCCRTGCCCTCCATCATTGCTCTCCCCACGGCGTCRCGCAGGGCTCGGTAACGCTCCCCACACACCAGGAACCGGTCCATGTGGCTGGACTGGCTCTGCTGCACCTGCACCTGCCAAGGGAACAATATCAGAGCACTGGGGATGATAACCCRGCTGCAGAAAGCACAATCTCCTCCTCCTCCCAACACTGGGGCATTTCAGCCTCCCCAGAGCACCGGAGAAGACTCAGCCACCCAAGAGTCTGTGCTGCCAGCAGACTCCATTCACAGAGAGCCAGGACCCCAAAGCAGCACCAAGTGATGACAAAGAGGAGCCCAGAACCATCTCCAGGAGATGCCTGGTCTCTACCTGTTGCAGAATTTCTGCTGGGAACACCCAGTGGAAGCGTGGCTCTGTGATCAGCCTCTGGGCAAACTCCATGCCRTGCTGGCTGGCAATCCTCCTGACCAGGTACACACAGTGCCAGTCGTTCCTGGCCAGGCTGCAGAACTTCTCCACGTTCTTCAGGTAGCGCTGCTTCTCCTTCATCTGCTCTGGCTCTGCAGTGGAACAAAGAGGTTAAAAAATGAGGCAAAACACATCCCACCTTGTAAAACTTCTGTCTGCTCCAGCTGTAGCACCAAGTCCCTTTATTAGTACAGTGTAATTACACAGGAGAACTTGAGAGCCCTCCCTTCCTCAGRTGTTGTCTGGAGCGTTTCCTCAGCCAGATTTCAGACAGTGATTCATTTCTTTGCCAGGGAAGATACAAACTCTTGGAYATAAACTCTTAATCCCTTCTAGCAGTGCAGAGCTCTCATTCATATAAAACAATAAGCCTTACACTAGTCTGAAGCAGCATTTATGCTTTAAGGTTCAATTTAGTGGGCTYTAAATAAATCTCATTGTTAGCATCAGGAGGATAAAATAAATCTCCTTCCACAGGTGTAACTGCACTGGGGTCACCAGCACAGCCTTGCTAGCAGTGACAGAGCATTGAAACACGTGGCACAGGGGACAGGCACTGACTGACACCCCCAGGGACAAAGGGAATGCTGCTCTCCTCCTTGGCCATGCACCAGAACAGGTCCTGGCAGAGCACAGGGCACTCTCTGTGTCCATCCCCCTGCCCTGCTGCCTTTGCTGTGACAGCAGAGCATCAGACTCACTGGTGTGCTGCTGCAGGTGGAAGATGAGCTCTGCAGCCCTGCTCAGGTACAGGCGCACCTCGGCCACAGCCTGCAGGTATTCCACCGAGGATTCCTCAGGAGCCTCCCTGCCCCTCCCTGGCAGGTAATTCTCTGGAAATCTGGCCCCAGGCAGGCTGCTTCCATGCTCATATCCCAGGCTGTCCTCAGACTTCTCACACATGGAATCCTAGAGAGAGACCCAACAGAGCCACATGTGTCCCCAGGGCACCCACCCACCCTGCCTGAGCACAGCAAACCATCCCTGCAGCCCCMAGCCCCTGCTCCTCCTCATCCTAAACCCCTCCTGTGTCACCAAACACGGTTTTTAGGATGTGTCCCCAAGCTCAGAGCAGAGCMAGAGCCACAAGCAGGCTGTCAATGACACGCACTCCACATTCCAAGATGCCAAACTCTACCTGTCTGTCCCTCACCAAGGGCACAAATAGTGGTTTTATACCCAAAATCACTTTAAAAAACCCTGTACATAATAAAACCTCTCCCCTGCTGTCAAATTTGTTTCAAGTTGTCCAAAGCCCTTAAAGTTATGCAAGGGGAGGAAARGGAACAATCCCAACAGCGTAATAATTTCAGTTYTGCACACRAARAATTGTCTGTGGAGACAAGAAGGCACCTACTGCAATGAAAGGCCCTGCTTGCTGCATTCCTGTGTTGCAGTTTGAGCACTCAGACAACATTTGGGCCCAGCTCTTACCTCCAAGCAGTTGACAAAAAGCAAGTAGAGCTCTTTTTTGTCATTTGTCTCTAGGAGYTCGTTGTGCTCCACCTGGGACAGGTAACGCTGCACATCATCTTTGACTTCATTGAAGCTACAGGAGAGAGACACCCCTTACCCAGTGCCACGCTGGGTAAAGCTCCTGCCCTAAARAGCTGCCACAATGTCTGGGTGACAGCTGGGGTCACTCTGGACACAGCTCCAATATGGGACAGCCACTGTGCTGTGCTCTGCCATGACATTTGGTCTCACAGCCCGAGGCAGGCTTTGATCATCAGCAGTGCTCAGAGAGCATTTCCAGGCAAAAGGCACCTGATATGTTCAAACATCTGATTTAGGAGGTGTTCACCCCTGAGGAGGGGTTTCTGTGCCCTGCCTGCAATGGGAGSCTGGGGGAGCTGCCAATGGGAGCTCTGTGGAGCACACACAAGAGCAGTCCTGATTAAATCCCCATGGATGAGGAGTTTTGTTTTGCTGCCCTATCCAAGCACCTTCCAGCCAAGGGTTAGTGAGGACAGCCAGGTAAATCCTGCACAGGCTGCTCATCCTGCAGCACAAGCTCCACACACTCCAGCCAAGCTGCATGACCAATGCAGAGGGATGAAACCCACCTGGATGGATTCTAATTCAATGAAACTCATGGAAAAGTGAGGAGAACGGTGGGATTGGTTGGATGATGATGATGAACAGAGCTGAACCAGGCCCTCAGCTGTCTGTGCTCACCTGTACTTCAGGAGCAGCTTCAGCATCACCGAGCGGATGACGGGAGTTTCATCCACCTCATCATTGAACGGGGACAGGAATTTGGTGTAGACAGCACGGTGATCTGTGGAGATGAGGGAAGGACAGGTTTGGCAGGGGAGAGAAGCTGGAGACAGATTCAGYTCCATAAAACTGTCAGGGTGATGGGAGCTCACCTAAATCTGTCACGAGGCTTCTGTGAACAAASAGCAGATCCAGGAGGCTCTGGATCACCTCTGGCTCAGGGGGCTCGTTGTCCTTGAAGCACATGGTGGTGACCACGTCTATGAAGAAATTATTGCACCAGTGCCGGAACAGGGTGTTCTTTGCTATGGCATCTCTGGGAAGGGCAAAAGCAAACACAAAACCACTTCAACCCTGAGGGAGGAATCCATGTCACCAAAGGGACATACTTTTCCAGCTTTCCAACTAGAWGGTCATTAAGGTCCCTTCCAACCCAAAACATTCTATGATTCTGTGATCTCCAGTTTTTTACAGAGGCCAAGGCAGTTTCCCCTTCTTTTGAAACAACGGGACAGGACCTGTTCAGTCCCAGAGAGAGCGAAGGAGAGCTTCACCCAACACTCTGCTCATGTTGACAACCTCAGAGYTGAGAATTCCCTCACAAACCCTCCCCAGTGAACACTCCCACCTCAGAGAGGGTGTCTGGAGTACCTGAGCTCCTCGGAGACAGTTAACTCCTCATCCTCCACAGCAACCCTGCAGTAGGGGCAGTACATCTGTGTTGGCACCAGCCACTGGCTGATGCACTTKTGGCAGAACACGTGTTTGCAGGGCAGGCAGACGGGCTCCTTGGGCTGCCCCAGGCAGATGGGACACGGCTCCAGACCATGCCTGTAATCCAGAACCAGCAGTGAGCACAAAAGCCTTGCACAAGATGTTCAACTGCAGCCAGAGCAAGAGGAGATAACGCAGGGCAGGCTGGCTCACTGCTCAGCTCAGGGTGCAGATCCAAAAGGGGCTGCTGCTCTTTCTGTGGCTTTCACCCCACCCAAGCAGAACTGCCAGGAATGTGCTGGCACCATGGGCACCTGTCCCAAGGTCAGTACCTGTAGAGCCTCCTGCTGACCTCGTCCTTACACTGGCACAGCACTGTCATCACTGCAACAAAGGTGGGATGAGACTTCATGTCTGAATCGTGCTGAAAACACTGCAGAGGGAAAGGACAGAGCCCAGTGACTCAGCTGGAACAGCTGAAACCAAAACTCCCATGACCAGCAGAAGAGAAGAGGGCAGAGGTGAAATCACAGCTTTGCTCACCTTKGCAAGAAGCAAAGTGTACTTTGTCACCAAACTCTTGAATTCTGGCATGGCAGTGTGGATGCCAAACACGACATGCTCCACAAAGAGCGCCATGGCAAACACCCTGTTCCAGCAGGATCTGTGGGAGGAAAGCAGGAATTCAGCA